TCCAGCAGCTGTGGTAGCAGAGGCAGACACCCACAGCTAAACCTTGAACTGAACTGAAATCCAGTTTCAGAGAGGGAGGACTGATGAGCAAGGGGGTCCATACCAGGCTGGTGAGGCCCACGGGGGCAGCTGACCTGAACAAGGGAGAGCTCTTTGTTCCCAGGCTGATGGCTGGGAAACCAGCATGGGTGTGATCCCGACCCCCTGAATGTGTGTGTGTGTCAGTAGGAGATGTTGGAAATCTATGCGACCTCTTGTAGTGGATCAGTACTTATTCCTAACATAGGAATGGACTTTGGGAGCCCATCCCACATGGTGGGATACTCCCTGAGCCTAGACACAAGGGGGTTGGCCTAGGCTCTTTCCCAAAGAGTAAGACAGGATTTGAAGACACCTATGGAAGGCCTCCCGCTCCCTGGGGAGCAGAATGAGTATGGAATAGGTAGGGTGTTAGTGGGGGCAGAGGAGGAGGGGAGGGAGAGGAAGCTGGGATTGATATGTAAAACAATCTTGTTTCTAATTTAAATAAAAAGTGGGAAAAGGAAACAAAATTAAAAATAGTTCTGTGGCATTATTAATTAACTAATTAGTATTCCTTAAAAGTAATTTTATCTCATGAAGTATAGTGAGATTGGTATGGCTTGTTTAAGTGTATAAAGTAACTGGTTGATTAAATAATATTTAGAGCCTGTAGCAATTACCCTTCTCAAACTTTTTGCTAGGTTTTCCCATAGCTTTAACTAGTACTTAACTCAATATACCTTTAAGTTATTTGACACTTCATTTAAACACAATCTCTTCTGTACAAATGGTTTTAATTTTTAATTACATATGCTTAATTATGCCACAGTGAGAATGTAAAGGTGAGAAAACAACATGCAGAAGTCAGTTATCTCCTTCAATCATGGATCCCACATATCAAACTCATATTGTCAGACTTGACAGCAAGTGTCTTTATCTGATGAGCCATCTCACTACACATGTCCAGATAAGTTTTAAATAACATGCTGTTGGTATAAATTTTACTTTAATATGACTTTATGCCTCACTACCTGTCTTAATATCAAGTTGAGTTTTAATTACCTTTGTGTAATAATTTAATAAATGAAGGGTTGTTATACCTGTTAAAGGCCTATCTGTAAAGAGATAGGAAAGGCACAAACATTTACACTTGTGAAATTTATCCCTAGCTCATATATATGCGTATGCATGCATATTTAGATACCAGCATCAAGCACACTTGCTTTGAATTCTACTATGAAGTGTGACAGGTAATAAATAGAACATATACATGTTTTATGTATCTTCTCTTTGTTTAGTTCTGGATCCATTCACAATCAAGACCATACAGCCAGAATGCTTAAAATGTTTTTTATATAGTTTTCATTATTTTACATACCAACCACATCTTTCAAGGGGGCATTTTTAGCTTTGTATATCAAATCTTATATTTAGGGATAAATTGTTGGTACAGCCACTGTTTAAAACATGTGCTGACACAGTCTATCCATTAAATAGTCAGTAATTCTGAAATGTAATTTTGAATGTTTGAAATGTTTTCAAGTATTAATGTTAGTTGTTCTTTACAAAAAACCTCTAAGTATATAATAAACACTGTCTTCTAAAGACAAACCAACATCTGTCTATCATTTTTGAGTGATTTTAAGTGTGACGCTCCCACATATGCTTACTGGCAACAAGTTATACGTTAATTGATTGTGGTCCTCATAATTTTTGATAATACTTCTAAACTTTTATGATCATTTCTGTGGTTACTCATAGAACCTTTCTGTTCATGTGCTTGTCAAAGAAACTAAGTCTTCAAGTTAATGATGTAAAATAAGTTAACAAATAATTATAGAAAACAATCTATGTCATTCTCTTTACCAGTTTGCACTAGTTCATTTAGGCATAAATGCTTTTGTGATAAGATATTTCCATTTAAATTCTGCCATCCTACTATGTGAAGCTACAATACTATGTTTAAGAACATTGCAGGAAATCTTAGTAAAACGCTAGTCACTGCTCTTTCAGAGTGCTTTGTGTCATGCACTCTCAAGAACTGAATCAGAATCCCATAATTTTCTACCATAAGATACAAAGATGACACCAACTAACAATCTAAGCAACAGAGGAGAGGCTTCCTTAAATGCCCTCCCCTGATGGTGAGATTTATGACTAACTTGTATGCCATCCTATAGCCTTCATCCAGCAGCTGGTGTAGCAGAGGCAGACACCCACAGCTAAACCTTGAACTGAACTGAAATCCAGTTTCAGAGAGGGAGGACTGATGAGCAAGGGGGTCCATACCAGGCTGGTGAGGCCCACGGGGGCAGCTGACCTGAACAAGGGAGAGCTCTTTGTTCCCAGGCTGATGGCTGAGAAACCAGCATGGGACTGATCCAGACCCCATGAATGTGGGTGTCAGTGAGGAGACCTCGGAAATCTGTGGGGCCCCTTGTAGTGGCTTATCCCTGGCATAGGGATGAACTTTGGGAACCTAGCCTATGTGGAGGGATGCTCCCTGAGCCTGGACACAGGGAGGTGGGCCTAGGCCCTGTTCCAAAGGATTTGGCAGACTCTGGGGACTCCCTACAGAGGGCCTCACCCTCCCTGGGGAGTAGAAAGGGTATGGGATTGGTAGGGTGTTGGTTGGGGGTGAGCGGGCGAGGAGGGGAGGAAGAGGAAGGAGGGGGACCTGAGATTGACATGTAAAATAATCTTCTTTCTACTTAAAATAAAAATATTAATAAAATAAAGGTGTGCACCACCACACCCAGCTTTAGATCATAGAATGGAACCAGATCATTCATGCTGAACTGACAACCTTTGTGTTTGGTGGGAGGGAGAAGAGAGAGTAATAGGAGAGAATGTAATAAACAAAAATCTGTGTGTAGATAGCTATCAATAGATATCAGCAGATAATGAAGGAGTCACACACACAAAATCAGCTAGGAAGGAGAATTAAATACAGTGAGTAAAAAAGAAAATTAATTTTTAAAGAAAAAATTCTAAATGAAGTCTGAATGGATGGAACTGATACTTTGCAAACATAGAAATACTTTGTGAGATAAAATTATTTAAACAGTATAATCTAGATAAAATAATCTCCCATATTATTTTTTTCTATTATTCCCTTCTTATGAAGCAAATGTCTAGTGACTACTGATTTAGTTACTTAACAATCCCTATAGTATATTGCTAACTTCTTGGTAAAAATCTATAATTGAGCTCAAAATGAATTCTTTAAATAAAAGGTTTATCGAGCCTTCAACTCAAACACAGAGAGCTAAACACTTTTAATCCTGTCTATGATAACTCCTTGAAGAAGCATATATACACATATGTGGGCATGTATGTGTAAAATTTCAAGAATTTAGTGCCAAGGAACTTGGTGTTTCTGTCCAAGCATTAGAGGTATCACTACTCACTGCCTACAAAACCAGATTGTTGTTTTGTTGTTGTTGTTTTGTTGTTACTTTTGTTGTTTTAGTTTCAAATACATGAACTTACTGGAGACATGTCTCATTCAAACAACCCAAGGCTACTAGGAACTTTCTGGGTTTTGTTGAGTCTTATTGAATGTGCTTATGGGGTAATTTAGCATGCTTATTTACTATATCACAGATTCCGCACAGTGAATATATATATATATATATATATATATATATATATATATATATATTTCAACAAGCAAAAAATCATTTCAAAGCTAAGCAAATGAGTGCTAAAGAAAGGTAGCACACTGGTGCTGGAGAGATGGCTCAACCATTAAGCTCCCTGGTCTTGCAGAGGACCTGAGTTCAGTTCCCAGCACCCACATCACGCAGCTCACAACTGTCCGTAATTCCAGGTCCAGTGCCCTCTTCTCCCCTCAGCAAGCACATGAACTCAAATAGGCACACTTACAAATGAATAAAAAATAATTTTAAAAAGGATGAATGTTTAACACAGAAGAAGGAAAACAATCATTGTCTTGATAACAAAAGAGTTTGTTATCAAGTTTCTTTTTAACAGAAACTATGTTGCTTATTTTGGTATTCCTAGACTTAAAGTCTTACTAATTTCATTCTTGGTGATTGCCTCTCCTCTTTTTTTTGTTTGTTTTGTTTTGTTTTGTTTTACACATTAGTGAAATAAAGTGTTAGATTGCTGGATACAACACATATCAAGAAGCAAAACAGCAAAAGGAAGAGAGAAAACAGTGTACAGAGGGGATTGAATGGAAAGGAGACAGGGCCAACACCCAGGCAAATGTTCACAAGTAAGATAACTAAGAAGCAAAAAGCTCAAGCTTGGCTCTGTGCCACAAAGACAGTGCAACTCTACTCAGGAAAACCCACGATGACATCCAGTCTTAAGCAGCCCTGACTTGCTTTCTTTATGGTTGGAACAGACAGCCCCCCAACCCTTCCCCCCCAAACCTTCCTTCCTCCCTAGCGCCCTCTGTCACCTGTTTCTTTTGTCCTGCCCGTTCACATCATGCTTCCTGCGTTCAAGGTACACCTTCAACTTCTGCACATTGCCCACTGAAGCAGCTTTGTGAAGTTTCTTTGAGTGCTTATCTTGACGGCGATGTCTCCCACCTGTGGACAGGCTGGGAGTGGGACTAGCCCCGCTCACGGACAGATCGGAGAAATAGCTATGGGACTGATCGGTCTTGCCCTTTTTCCGGAAGCTGAAGAGCTTCTTCATGGTGACAAGGCCTTTGATTCCCTCTGAGATGTTCTTGGGACTCCTACCCAACAGCCCTGGTCCTCTGCCCCAACCACTTCATTCACAGTGGTCTCTCGACCTGACCAAATCCGGAGGTGTGTGAAGACCATTCACCTGGATGCCTTCGGGGACCGAAGCAGATTTTGGTTACCTAGAAACTGCTAAGGAATTCCACTGCGCAACTGCAGTCTTGATTGTGATCCAGTTCAACTAGCTGACCAGATTTTTCACATATGAGGAGAGAAATAATAGTCTATTTTCCTTCGAGGATAGATTTTATAGCCTCTACTCTAGCCAAGTGAGAGTAGGATAGAAGGGCTGGATCTCTGCCAGTGACTAGACTTTTTGCTTATCATTTAAGATCCATCCTTCTCACATGATAATCTCTGTAGGGCCACTGCTTCCATGTTCATATGAAATGCATTATTTATCTAAAACTATAAAAATTATGGGTGCTGTGCGAGGTCAGAGATGCAGATACTTTTCAGTTTCACTTCTCTAAGAGAGGGTATGACTCCCAAAGGATGACACATCCAGCTCAGGGACTTCTTGTCCTCTGTGCCAGTGTAATTCCTTGGTCCCATAAGCCTTTCATATTCCTTGAACCCTGAAAAATGGAAGTGTGAGACAGTGAGATCTCCTTTATTTTCTGTGGGTCAGGGAGAGCTTGAATATACTGATATCCTTCCCCTAACTCCCTGGCTTCCAGATTTTCTGGAGAGTGGCTAGCAGTGTGGACTTCAGATCCCTGTAGAAACAATGTGTTTTGATGGAAGTTCCTAGCTCTTAGCTCTTAGCTCAGTGTCTAGCAACTGGTGCCTCTTTTGGACAAATTACTATAATAATTGAACAAATTTCTAGAAATTGAGCAAATTAGTACAATAACTGTTCTTTGTCAGTTTCAGAGGTGCAAGTCATGATCCCAAAATATTATCAGTATTTTCTCTCTCTCTCTCTCTCTCTCTCTCTCTCTCTCTCTCTCTCTGTGTGTGTGTGTGTGTGTGTGTGTATAAAATATTATCAGCTGACAGTTTAACTGCTGCAGCAGCTTTGTAAAACCATCTGCCTCTGGTTACAAGTTTTGTCTAATGCCTCTGAGCTGGTGTCTTGTCAACACACTTAATATTTTCAATCTTCCAAACAAAACCAACTTTCTACTCTAAGGGTGAACAATAAATTTTGTCCTAGTACTTTCCCCTTCTTCCTTCACAGTTTTAAATACCGTTTCACTCAGGCAGTAAGATGGGGTATTCAGGACCACCCTAAAGTGCAATGATACACGATATTTCGGAGGGCTAGGCAACATGGCTGGCATGGGTGGAGATTATCACAGTGGAAACGTACATAAGATGAAATTTAGAGAGGAATCAGCCATGCTTCCCATGGGGCTGAACACACTACCTACCTCTCTGGACAACAATATCTGGCAACATGCAAAGTGTCATCCACCAGATCCACTCAGGCATAGTCAAATGAACACAAGCAGCTCCTATTTGAATAGGCTTAGCTACTGGAGCTCATGGCATACAACATTACTGTATGCACTCATCACTAAGACATTTCAAAGGCTCGAAAGTTTTCTGTCTAGGTTGAGAGCCATAACCTGTCTTCCTGTGTACCAACCTGAACATTGTTATTAAACATCTATGCTAATAGTTTCCATCTTTAAGGGCCTAGCCTAAGCCCATGTATTTCCATCAAGACTCACTCCTTTACTGCTTCCCACATCTTTATACACAGAAGCATTTACAGCTCTGGCATGAATTTTGTGTATTGCCTGTAATCCTTTCCTGACTAGACCTGTCACCTCCCTGACAATGATCATATAAACCCAGGAAATGAAGTTTTACTGACAAAGTGTTGTTTTGCCTATATTCTTTAATATAAAATTTTGCCCTATGCTGTCTTTCAGCCTCCGTAAGATAGTTTTAGGATACAAAATCAAAAAATGCAATGTCTCCTCCACCCCAGTTCAGACTGGAACATTCACAGTCATCTCTCCACACTAAGAAGATCTGACCTACCGTTCTAACCATTCAGCTTCTGGTGGTTTTCTCCGTCTCCATACTTATTCTTGTTTGTTCATCTTGGTAACCAAGGCAACACATTACTTGCCACAAGAATATGTATTCATTTCTCCAAGCCCTCTGTCATCTTATCAGCTGTTCTCTCCCCAAATCCCAATTTTGAGTTTTCCTGAGTCATGATAAATTTCTTAGGAGTATACCGTTATTAGGGCAAATCAATTATTAGTACTGCCTGATTTGTATGCTTCAGACTGTTGCCTCTGAGGATTTGTGGAGACAGGACTGCCGTTTCAGCTGGGTAAGATCTACTGGCTTTGCTGCTTGGCTTGCTTAACATTCAGCTTGAAGTGTGACCCCCAATTTATCTGTCTCTGGGTCTTTTGTCTTTTTCATGTTACACCTCTTATTTGTCTCTATTTAAGTGTCCCTGCCCATTTTCTCAATTAACCAGAAATGGATGACAGAGCTAAGTGCATTTAAAATAAAATGTTTAAAATCATTTAACATCTTATTAGGGATGAGAGAGCTAAGTGCATTTAAAATAAAATGTTTAAAACCATTTCACATTTTTTATTAGTAAATTTGTTCTTTGACAATTCCATACATGTATGCAAAGGGTTCTGATTACAGCAACTCATACCTTCTCTCACCCCCTCCTCCTCCTCAACCGATCTCCCTCTTTCCCTACAGCCCCTTTCCTATACTTACCTCTTTTGGTTTGGTTTTGTGACCAAGTTTAACCTAAAGGCTGGCCTCAAATTTGCAATCTTCATGCTTCAACCACTCAAGTGCTAGACTTAAAGGCATGCAGGGCCACCAAAAATGGCTTCAAATTTTTTAACTCTTTCTTATTGTGACTTCATGGCATTCAAAGATGTTATAAATCACATGGCCACATTCTCTGCCAACTTCATTTTTTCCTATCTGCAGAGTGCAATTTATTCTAACACCTGTTTTTCTTGATGGGAGGCAAATTAAGCAAAACATTTATTAACCTGTACATGCTCTCCCCCTGAAGCACTGGCACACACAGTATACAGCATGACACATCGTTATTTCCAGACACCTCCTATCCCCTCAGTACTACTTCCGTACTATCGTTTAACATATGTCAAATGTATTAACAATTGTTAACTTCTCACTGTAAGCGTTTGTATGTATTTTGGGGTCGACTATGGGTGGGGAAGAGATGAGTATAAACAATGAGGTGGGAACAGGAGGGGAGACGGGATTGAGGTGGGGAACGAGGAGAGACAACAAGGATTGAAAGACATTTGGGGACAGAGGGAAAGCTGGTGCAATGGAGACAATATATGAATGCCATCCTAATGAATTCTCCAGTTAACGGGAAGAAGAAACTCCAACTGGCCATCTCTTGTCACCAAAGGTTCTAGTACCAAGACTGGGTTTCACCCAATTCAATTGTTGGTGGAAAGGGTCCCCATGGAAATCCTGAAACAACCTATGGTAGTCCCAAGACAACAGGTTGTTCTCCACAAACTGACAGCAAGACCCCATAGCTAAGACAATATCCACATAACCCATTGAACATGGAGAAGTTGAGCGGGTGCCTACAAAGAACCTTCACTGCTATGTTTTAGTACCCTTGACATGGAAAATTACTCTGCAGGCTACCAGAAGACAAATGTAAGCACCAACCCAACCATAAAACCTTTGGTCTACAATCTGTCCTGCCTGAAAAATAAGCTAGGGCAATAGTGGCACGAATTTTGTGGGAGTAACTGACAGATGTCTTATTTAAGGTTCACTCCACTCCATACCCAATACTACTTGGGTAACCAAAAACCAGAGACTGGATACTAGCTAGTCCAGAGCCCAGTGACCTAGAATAAAAACAAATACTACTGGTCTTTAAAAAAAAATAACAAAACAGGAGTTAGAGATGACTCAGAGGTTAGGAGCACTGGCTGCATTCCAGAGGTCCTAAGTTCAATTCCCAGCAACCACATGGTGGCTAACAACCTCTGGTGCCCTCTCTTGGCCTAGCCTGCAGGCTACATGGAGACAGAACACTGCATACATAATAAATAAATAAATAAATAAATAAATAAATAAATAAATCTTGTTTAAAAATAACAAGAAAATGACTCCTAATAATCTTTTATACTCATATATCTATGCCTTATTCATCCATAATCAGAGAGGCTTTCTCCAGCAGCAGATGGGAAGAAATACAGAGATCCATAGCCAGACATTACAAATGAGAGAGAGAGAGAGAGAGAGAAAGAGAGAGAAAGAGAGAGATCTCAGAACACACAACTTTAAACAAGATATCTTCATCAAATCCCTCCCCTCAGAGTCAGGAAATGCTGACAGAAGAGGGGGAGACAAAGGAGCCAGAACATACCACTGAGCAAAGCTTATACAAACATACAGAGACTGAAGCAGCAATCACAGGGTGTCTCGTCTATGTGTCTGCACCAGGTCCTCTGCAAACATACTATAGCTTTCAGTTAAGACTTTTGTGTGACTCTTGAATGTGCAAAGGAGTGGTTCTTGTGCCTTCTCTCAGGGTTCTTTTATTTTTCTCCTCATTTCCCTTGTCCAACTTGAATATGCTGACTTTTGTTTTATTTTGTTGGTAACTCTTAGAAGACTGTTCTTTTCTAAAAGGAGACGGAAAAGGGGGGATCTGAATGGGAGAGGAGGTTGGTAGGAACTGGAAGTAGTAGTAGTATGTTGTATGAGAAAATAATCTATGTTTAATAAAAGGTGTGGGGGGAACCACTTAGGAGAGGGCTTCATTTGCACACAAGGCACCTTGTATTTAGTATCATTTCTAGAAAAAACAAAACAAAACAGAATACTTATAGTTTAATTTACTACTACCCTAATGAGAACAGCGAAGTTCTAACATATAGCTTAAAGAACACAGAATTGTCATCAGGGATACTCTATCCAGTAACATGGAAGCAGATGCAGAGATTCATAGCCAAGCACTGGGCTGAGCTTTGGGAGTCTTGATAAAGGCAGGAGGGTTTGTATGAGCCTGGGGGGGGTCATAATGGGGGAACCCACAGAGATAGCATACTGAGCTTGTGGGAGCTCATGTACTCTGGACCAACAGTTAAGGAGCCTGCATGGGATTGACCTAGACCCTCTGTATGTGTGTGACAGTTGTGAAGCTTGGTCTCTTTGTAAGGCTCCTAGTAGTGAAATCAGAACCTGTCCCTGGAACTTGGCTGACTTTCAGGAACCTGTTCCCCATGCTAGATTACCTCCTCAACTTTGGCACAAGGAGAGATGCTTGGTCCTGCCTCAACTTGATGTGCCACGCTTTGCTCAAGCCCATGGGAGGCCTGCCCCTTTCTGAATGCAGATAGAAGAGTGAAAGGGATAAGGGGTAGAGTGGAAGGGGGAAAAACAGTGGACACAGTGGGAGGCATGGAGGAGAGGGTGTAGGAGAAACTATGGTCCCTATGGAAAATAAAAGAAAAAATGTCATTTAAATAAAAAAAATATACTTAAGTATAATGAGGAAAGTACTTCTGTGTATGTTTATCTTATTGATTGTTGAATAAAATACTGTTTGGCCAAAGAGACAGCAAGTTAGACGGGACTAGGAGTCAAGGAGGATCCTGTGAAATGTAGTAGAGAAGTTGTAATCCAGGCAGAAGTGACATAGCAAGGAGACTCATATTTAAGCGAAGGAGAAACAAGAAGGGTTTCCTCTTTTCCTCTTGTTCCTCCAGCACAATGTGATCCACCGGCAAGGAGGGACACCAATAAGGTGTCCGATAAGATAAGTCTTATAAAATATATAGATTTATGATAATTAAAACTGAGCTAACAGATGAGGAATCCTAGTCATTGGCCAAGCAGCTTTGAACCTAATACAAGTTTCTGTGTATTTATTTATCAGGTGGGCGGCTGGCGGAAAGCTCACAAATGGCAGTGGGGCTCAGGCAGCTTTTGGCGGAAAGATTTATCGTAACAGAAGTAGGATAACCTAGTGGAATTTGGGGGTTATTTGGAGTAATTCTTTATCTGTGCCAGAAAAAGATAAAAGAACAATTTAAGTATATGAAAATACACAAAATACAAAAAGGAGCTAACTAACATAAATGCTAGATTTTTAAAATGTTTAAAGTAAAATCTTTTCATCTTTAGAAGATGTCTTAAAGACAATTCATCTCCTTGAGTTCTCAACTCCTTCATCTCCCAAATGCTGCCGGTAGGTAGCAGATGGTTAGTTAACCAGTGCAGGAAACACAACTGGTAAGATCTATTCTGGCCCCATCCTTAGCATTATCCAACCTACAGACTTGGAAATTTTACTGACAAACACAAATAGAAAAAAAGAAAAAAAAATCCTCAAGCTGAATTATACAGATTTTTAAAAAGATGGTTGTAGTAGTGTAGTGGTTTTAAATGAATCTGGGCTCATAGATTATATCCTATTATACTAAAAGAATTTAGTGAATTTATTAACATAAATCTTTGGATGAGATGATTTGGTTGAGGTACTCCATAGAGTAGCACTTCACCAAGGATCATGTTTATCTTGTTCCCTGGCTTAGAGGTGGCTATCAGTATTTAATAGCAGTTTGACAGTGTCCCTGACAACACTCTCAATTCTATTTAAGTATATGACACCTAGAAAGGGAAGTAATAGTCATTAGGAGGCAGTATCGAGTCACATAGAGCCACTAAGCCTAGGTCAAAGGGCTCTCACTACAGGGAGGAATGACCATCATACCACTTAACAAGTGAAGAACAGCTCTGTGGAGCAGAACCTAATATTTCACAACTAAATGACTACTCAGGGCATCAGAACAGAACACTACTACTTGTACATCTGTGTGGAACTGGATGGAGCTAGTTTCTAGTCAACTTCCTTCCAGTCTCCCATGGAAACACAATGTAATTTTATCTCATTTGCCCAAGACTCAATTCAGACAGAGTAGAATGTGTTCTAAAGAGAAAAAAAAAAAGAAAGAAAGAAAGAAAGAAAGAAAGAAAGAAAGAAAGAAAGAAAGAAAGAAAGCCTCAAATAAATAAAATGGAATCTTAAAGACTCAATGGGGTAGCCAAGTTCCTGGTTCATTTTAACAATTATTCCCATTTGTTCCATTACAGATGCAGTAAACCAAGATCAATGAGTAGAGCCAAAAAGGTTTTAGTGCCTCGGGAGCTTTAATGAGCCCAGTTTAGAGGACTGTCTTTGTCAATCCAAGTAATGACACTCATTTTGATATTCTATTTTCAGGTTATGGGAATAACTACAACATCCTGAATGAATTAAAAGCTTCGGTGTCCCCATATATAAAAGGATCACTACAGGGAGCACCCAGCATTACACCTGAAAAATGATGTGCACTCAAATGCTACCAAATTCCAAAGGCAAACACCCAGTATACACCATATTGCAGGCAAAGGGCTGCTTTGTAACTGGCTGCTAGCAAGGGGGTTCACACAGCGTTATAAAGGAGCTGTTTGTATTCTTACTTAGTCAATTCTTCCAGAGTCAGGAGGGGTGTTGTCGTTGTTATCCTGTATTGGAATCATGTTTTTCGTCCTGTGTATTCTCACATTATCAGCTTTAAATTTTAAATAACGATCTTCTAAGGGTGCTTTTAAAGAGTATTAGTAAAAATGTATCTTAAGTGTTTATGGCTTTGTAAATACAACTGTGGTATTTTTCAACCCAAGTGCCAGCATGAAGCCATTTAATCAAGTAATTTAACTTAAAGGTAATACTATGTGGAACTATTTTTTAAGATTGTACCTGGTCAACTGAAGGGACCAGCTCCCCATTTTGGCAGCCATGACAGTCCAACACGTGTTTGCCTGACCTTGCCTTGGTCACTAGGAGGTCAGATGCCTGCTTCATGGCAAGGAACCAATCAGTAGCTGGTGGTGCTATGCTTTACGGCTCTGGGTGTGCTTTACAAGTGCACAGCAATGACGGGCAGAGCACAGCAATCGCCCTGGGAGGGCCTATGGGCCATAACAACCAGTTGACCAATCAACACAGGGCAAGCCTGGAGGTACACCAATCCTGAGCCTTTCGTACCCCTAGACACTCCCTTTACGCTGCCCTATAAGATCTTTATGCCATGGCTTCAAGGCGTCTTTCCTAGCCATCCACCATGGTGGATGGATGAAAGGCCCAAGCTAACATGGGGTTAGCTCGTTAAACAACTGCAATAAAACCTCTTGCTCTTTGCATCAAGCTTTCGCCTCTACCTGGTTGCCAAGGTCCTGAGCCAAGATACTAGGGGCCTGAACCTCCGGGGGTCTTTCACAACTACAAAGAAACTAAGTCTTTGCCCTCAATGTGTGAAGTCCTGTGTTGCCTCATTCAAGCACTTTTAATGAAAACAGCTTGCCAAAAAACATTTAGACCCATTATCAGAAAGCTGTTTTCAGCTTTGCCTTGTGTGTAAATTAATAAGCAGGGATGCAATTAAAGATTAAAAATGACCTGAGGCTCTTTATGGTGACTCCATAATAAGTCTCATTAAGGAACATAAAAACCTTGACACAGCATAGAAACTAAAGGTTTCACATAGTTCATATGCAGGGCAAACCCAGCTGGAAGTGGTTGTGAATGTATAAGGAACCGTGTACATCCAGGAATAAGAAAAAGCAGCCATTTGCTCCTCAATCATTCACTTCTTCTATAAAATAAAGTATTCCAGATGTTTTAGCCAGTCTCAGTCACAAAATACCTTTTATGACAAATAGTTTGGGGAAAAGATGTGTGGACTCCATTTGTAGTACTTGAATAAAACTTTTTGAAAAGGTATAAATATCTGGCTTAATTTGGGGGACTAGTTTCAAAATTTAAAGTACTGTGTATTAAGTGTCTCTGGCTCATGGTCCCTACACTCCGCTACCCATTCTCATCACATTCATCTTGTTACTGACTATAAAAGTTTACAGTACAGGCTAGGCATGATGGCTCTTTCCAACCTCTCCTCACAAAAGTTGTTTTTCTTTTAATTAACCAAAATGATTATATCGAATCTGAGTGTTAGCTCATGTCTGAACTCTGGGGGGGGGGGGGCATTCCAGAACTTACAGGAACTGTCCATTATCCTTTCCTTCTAAAAATATCTTAAGCCAAGTCATAAAATTATGCCATTTGGGCAAATACAGCCTGCCTGCATTGAAAATGATGTTCTATCGGGAAGACAACCAAGACTGCACTTACGGGTTACCTACTGCTGCTTACGATGTAACCAGAGAGGACCGCAACTGTTAGAGACCACATGGCCTTTGAAGCCTCAAAGTTTTACTATTTGCATCTTTACAGAAATGTTTGCACTTTCACTTAAAAAAATGGAAAACACTAAAAAGATGAGTTTTATTTCAATTACAAGAATGTACACATTTTTTCTCGTCTATCCAAAGATAACCATTTTGGCCCACACAGGAAACAGATGAGTTCTGGGAATGCTTAACATATATAAATATGATCTCCATCACCACTTCCATGAATTCTTTGAAAAGTCAAGGTTACCAAAGCAGCTTCATGGAGCACGTGAAGGAGTGAGACAGCAAAGCACAGCTCTGCATTTAAGTCAACACCCACCCTGAACAAAAGCTCGTTCAATGGCTGACACTCCCCATTTCTCTTTGTAGGTTTCAGCAGTCCAACGGCATTTAACATACATGGAATTGGTTTTAGATACTGAATTCTGTGACCTTCCTGAGCATCTGAAGATTTATCCACATCTTCCTAGTCACTCTTACTTTCCTATTAATTTTTGTTGCAATTTTAATGTGCAAGTTTTTCACTATTCAACCAATTTTTAATTCACATCTCTTAGACAAAGAGCAATTTTTCAACCAATGTAGAACTCTAGGGCAGTGGGATAAACATCTACAGCTCAACACAGAAAGAAACGTGTCTCTTATTACTATTACTTGCATGCATAAGTTACTATAATAACCTAAGTTCTCTTTACAGCCAATTTTCCATAAATATTAAATTACCAAAAGTAATGGTATTTTCTAAGTTTTCAAAATGATCTATCATTTAGTAGAAAAATAAATCAGGCAACTGCATTTATTAATTTAGGCAATGTTTCCCAATAAAAATGTAGAAATATTTAAATTTACATATTACAATGTACCAACACAAAGTCAAAATCCACAATTACACACTCATAAAAAAATCTAAACGTCATCTTCAGAAGACGCAGTTTCTGTACAGGATTTACAGACATCTAACCACACACTGTGTCTTCAGTGTGCTACGGAGTTCAGAGGTTCGGCTCGGATGTTCCCCAAGTCCAGTGCAGAGTCTGTCTCTTCATCAATTTCTCCAATGACTGCTCTATTATCAGTATGAGGGAAAGACAGAGTTAAACACATGCTGAAGTGAACTCCCATACATTTCTAAAACCCCATTAACTACAGCATCATTTCACTCTTCCAAATGTGAGGAACTGGGAAGATGCAGTGACTACACGAGGTGGGAAACAAAAGCCATTTCATGACTCACTGAATGAAGTCCTAACACTCAGGTAGTGTTAAAAGAACAAACAATAAAGAGATACTGCAAGTGTTTGAACATCAGATCTTTGGAAAACTAGTGGCTGGTCTGCTGCACTCAAAGTCAAACAAAAGTCTGTTTTCCTGAGCTCTTAAAAGCAGGCTCTAGCCTCAGTATGTTTGTGGTAAATGTTCAGTTTGGTTTCTTTGTAACACAGATGTAGGCAACACAAATCATCCAGCCCATACACTCGCACTGCAGTGTTCTGCTCTGCTGCTCGGGGATAAGGGCCCTTCTGCTCAGGCTCACGCTTTACAACTCACGCCACAATTTCACCCAAGTCATCTCCAGAGAACATTTTGATAAGGATCAATCAACTTACTTACAAAATACAGATTTCAGATAAAATTAAGTGAATAAAGCACATATTCATTTTAAGATAAACTTCCAGTATTCACTAATAACTAATCTTACAGATCACCAAATGAATTAAGTATCACTTCTCCTATCATCTTACATATCCCTTCAAACCTAAACTTGCTGTCTGTAGTAATATTTTGACTCTTCGTAGTATTCTAGAGACATTAAAATTCAAGTTTTAGCCACATAAGGCAGAATGAACCTATAATCCCAATACTTGGGAAGCTGAAGGAGAATGAAAGAAGTCTGGGCCATATAGCAAGTTCCAGGTCAGCCTGGGTTACATTAAGAGATTCAATTTAAAACAAAAAACAAAAACACCAAATTTAAAATTTAGTTCCTTGGTCACCAACCATTTTTCAAATATGACAACTACAAAAGCAAGTAGATATAATACTGGAAAATGTTGACATTCAAGACTTCCATCATTAGAAAAATGAATATTTTGAATAGCACTGTTCAAAATGGTTTCAGTTTTTCTCAAATTGCCATGTCTAAGTTTTCTCAAACTAGACTGTCAGTGTCCTGAATTCAAGAAGACTATAGGTTTTTCATGGGACATATTAAGTATATCCAGTCAATAAAAACAGTGACAGCTAAATGAGCCTGAATTTTTTAAAATAGCTCAAACGGGAGATTTTTTTAAGGAGATTTTCCAAATGTCAAGAAGCCTCTTTAAGGAAAAATTTGGTACAAAGCAGGGCCCTTTGTGGGCCTATCCATGCCACTTTCCTAGTAGAAACACACAACACAATAGTGGTTTAGGCTACTCAGAGGCTGTAGTAACAGGTAGATCTACAGTTCAAAGTCAGTCTAAGCAACTTAGGTAAGCCTGGTCTCAGGATGTAAACAGTAAAGAGAGCTGGGGAACACAGATCAGCAGTAGACTGTTGTTCTGTATGTGTAAGACTATGTTCAAAAGCCAAGTCTCAAATCTCAGTAGGTCAATGTTTACTTTGTGAAGAGACAACTTTAGTTGGTTCCTGAGGTTACCTCAACATAAAAAGAATAAATTAAAAATAAGATAAGCTATAGCTGCAAAACAGATGAATTCTATTACACATGGATGACATATAAGTTGGGGGAAATCTCTCTTCCATAATGCAAGCACACCCGTAGTGAAAAAGTAACTTTACTCAAAATGACTTATTTTACTTACACATTGTCACCTCTCACGATGTATAATCCTAATACCACTTGTTCCACTCCTTGTGAAGAGCTGAATACCCTCTCGTGGCTTTCATCCAAAATCAAATTAATAGTCTGGTCAAAACCTTTTAGTGTTCCCTGAAAAGAAAATGAGAAAGACAAAACATGCAAATCAGCTTACAGCCATTTTAGCTGCCAGGTAAGTACTTATGTCTCAGTGTTAGTCCCCTGGCAGTACAATATCTTCTGCGTTCCGAAGCAGTCACAACACAGAGCTTACCTCTCACTTGTTTTATAATAGGGAAAACCTTTACTGAAAATCTGACTATTGTGCAGTTGCAAGCAACACCCAGGCACTAGTATTTCCAAGTAAATAAACTCACATGGTCCAGGAACTAGCACTAAGAACACAAACTAAAACAGGACACCGTTAGGATAATTTTTTTTTAACTTAATAATAAGAACCACAAACCAGCCATACAGTTCACTGGATGTTACTACTTAGTGAAAGTCACTAGCTAAACAAACACACTGAGCAAATCACCTCCACTTTCCTTCACCTTGGAGATACTGCTGTGTTTTGCCCATTTCACATAAGGGACCTGATACTCCAGAAAATGATGGTTCAAGATTTCATGGGTAGTAACTAGAAGATTCAGTACAGATAAATAAGACTAGCTCCAGAGCCAGATTACAAAGTAATGACACTATTCTGTTGTAAACAATGCTTTCCAGAAATTAATCTATAAATATACACAAATCACATGGTAGTTACACCTAACATTTAGTATATCCTTGTTGCCAATGTTGTGTCTTATGTGTATGTATTGTTGAATACTCTTAATATAGTAGACATATGTAGAACCAAAATAATCAAGAACTTAACTTGAAGGAAATACTCAGGAAAAATTTTGTGGCTATAGCAAAATGTAATATAATGAATGCTGTTTAAGTTTCTGAAGAAATAGCTTCTTTTAGATTTGGCTGGTTAATCTCTTGGGTACACCTTTAAACCCCCCTGTTCTGAAAAACCATAATTGTATAGAATCTGAATGAAATAAATAGAAACTTGGAATGTAGAAATTGGGAAGAAAAACAAATTAGACTATTTATTATAGCACTTGGCAAATGGTAGTTATCATAAACCCCTATAAAGGTGCTCTCATCTTCATTATATATGCAATTATTTTATCAGGTACGATAAAGACAGAACTACTGAGTGTCAATACAAAGTTTCTGTTTAGCTTTTCTTCTATAAGCATTTTCTAACAGAAATATAAGAAATTTAAACCTGAGGATTTCAAAAATCAGTTATTTGTAAATTATCTGATAAATGCAACAGACTTCTTTCAATGTTTAAACAAACATATTCCTAATTTCACATTCCAAATTGCCTACTGTTGACAAATTTAGAGTGTAAACTCACCACCACTAAACAAAAAACCTTAAGACACCTGTTTCCTTTATGGGTTTTGGAATAAAACTCAATTTATAACACACTTGTTATACTGAATCTCTGTGAAAGTAACTTGGTTTTTTTTTTTTTTTTTTTTTTTTTCTAAGCCTGGTTCCTAATCTACAATATAAGTGATAATTCTTCTTGAGATTCCTTGCAGACTAAATAACACAAAATTCCTAGCATATGATAAGCACTGCAATTACTATGGCAGTCTATCACTTTGACTGGTGTTGCTCACTAAAGAGCAAGAAGAATCAAAGGGATTCAGAAGAAGATAAGGAGGCTGAAGAAATGGTTAAAAGTATATACTATTCCTCCAAAGGACCTAGTGTGGCTCACAATGGCCTGTAACTCCAGCTCCAGTGGATCTGACAACTCTTCTGGGCTCCTTGTGTAGTGTACCACCACACATGGCAGACACTAACAAACAGACATACACTCAAACCTAACTAAAAATAAATCTTTAAGAAAACAAAATCACGAATGGGAAAACATGGGATTAAATTACAGCCGTGAAAGAAATATTGCAGAGACAGTAGATGAGGCAATGGTCCCAAAGATCATACCCCAGTGAAGTCACAGCTAACTTAGTTTCTGAAACCACTCTCACAATATTTGAAGAACAATGAAATCACTGAATACACATTTCTCAGATTGGATCTCCCCATTGTTAAGCAACTTACAAGAGCATATGCATAATTTGTAAATCCTTAAAGAGCTCTAAATGAAAACAAACAAAAGGAATTGAGGTTAAAAAAAAAAAAAAGAATGCAAGAAGAAAATTAGTCGGCACAGCTCTGCATTCCAGATCAGAAGACTTCAAGGTTTATTAGGGAAGCTGTATTGACAGCCAAGAGATAAAAGTCTGTCAAAACAGCTGGATCTCCAGCATACATGCGGGCAGAACACTGTGTACTTTAAATTTAAACATTCTTAAAAAAATAAAACAGCTGGATCATAAGAACACTAGAATCGAGGTTATACCGTGGTACCTCAGCATTAGATTAGAAACGTAACTTCAAATTTACAATCAATAAGCCTACAAAGAAGCAGACTGAAAATGCCACTCACCACAATCATTCTCCCATCAGAAGTGATAACGGCGACGGTTCCTGAGAACTGCGTCAAGGAAAGTATTTCTTAGAGATTGCAGAGTGAAAACTTTCAGCCTGGTAAGGAAATGGTCTCAATTACTTAAAAAAGAAAAAAGTGGCGGTATGAAGGTTCGACACAGCCGCTGCTCACGAGGTACAAAACTGAAGGTTTGAAACTTGTTTCAATTCTATCCTGAAAACAGTAAATCTAATGGGAGAAGGGTAGAGTCTGACATCTGACCCTGGGTTTAAAACAGCAATGGGTTCCAATCCCTAACACTGAGAGATACAATCCCTTCCTTTCTCAGACCAATGTCTTCACCTCTGAAATAAAAACTGGACGCGTAACTATCAATGTTGCACCGTTGTGGCGCGTTAAGCCCCCTCCCCTAGTCCAAGACCTGGTCATAATTAATGCCACCAAGTACAAACAACCCTGGATTCCTTAAAAGCTCTCTGCTTTGAACGCCTGAGTTTCTTGTCTGTACCAGATGTGCTCGGTGCACGGTTTCTGTCCTGACTTTGCAGCAGCGCTTGTAATTTAAAATCTCACCTGGGATCTTAAGAGCTCCTTGCCTGTCACTGAAGCCCAACACGATTCCAGGCTTTCCTTCTAAGGGTATCGCATGGACACTTCCAGGGGGGGCCCGAAATTCACCTTGGAGAACCAAGCACCTTTCTATGCATGCCAGCCTCGAGCCAACCGCAAGCCCTGAGAAAACCGGTCCAACTTATTCCCGACGCTGGCCCGCACAAGCCCTAAGGGATCTGCAGCAAT